TTCAACAAGATCTTGAATGAGGTTTTGAAACCTGTAGCATTCATCAGTGGTATGACCGTTTCCTCGATGGTATTTGCAGTAGGATTTGGGATCCCACCTTGGGGATCGCTTTTCTAATATTGGATCCGCTGTTGGACCAATAGGTTTGATTAGTCCTTGATCATATAGATGATCAAAATAGCATCATAGGTCATTCCTATGGGTGTGAAATCTCTTTTATCATTTGGAAGTGGAAGCTCATCATATTTCTTATGGAGTTCGTTCATAGCTCTGAGAGCTTCACGTAGTAATTGTGATACCTCCCTCATAGACAGTGTGAGCAATTGTATATCATCCTTATTTGCCGGTTCTGGAAGGTAATCCTTGACATTGAAAAAGATTTCCTCTTCTTTTTCTATGGCACGAATTTCTTTGACAGGTCTAATGAGAGATGAGGGGTCAACCTCATTTTCCTCATCGGAGATAGCCAGGGTATGAGCTAGAGGTGCATTGTCAATGCTTGGCTTCTTACTGGCAGGGGGCAACGGCAGCTTGTTGCTGTCAATTAAGTCTTGGATAGCTTCTTTAAGCTTCCAACAGTTTTTGGTGAGATGGCCCCTACCTTGGTGATACTTGCAGTGTGCATTGGGGTTCAAATTAGCCGACCTATTCTCAACTGGTGGGTCCCCAAATGGTCCAATAGGAGTTATAAGACCTTTTGCATTTAATCGATCAAATGCGGTGTCATAACTCATATCATGCCAATAGGAGTAAAGTTCCTCCTAAATGGTTTCTTCTGTCCTTGATTGTTCATAGAAAGGACTTCTCCTAAATTAAAGGTGCTAACATTGTTTGAGTGGGCGGTTTTGGAAGAAGAAGGATTGTCGTTCTTCTTTCCTTTCCAGCCACTGTTGGAGTTATTGTTGGCAGCTTTTAACTTAGCCAAGTCATCTTCAATATTAATCCCAATGTCATAAACAGCCTTGAAGGTATGGAGATTATTTTGATATTTGAGATGCTTGGAATATTTTTCTTGGAGATTTTTGATGAACAGCCTCATAGATTCTTTTTCACTTGGCACCTCAATCATCTTAGCTGAGGTTTCTCTCCACTTGTTAAAGAAAGAGGTGAAGCCTTCATTCTCTTTCTGCTTGAGGATTTCAAGTTCCCTATGGTCAGTCTCGACTTGAATGTTGCACTTGTACCTATCAACGAAAGCATTTGGTATGGACTCCTAGGTTGAGGTCTTTTCTTTCTCGAGAGTAAAGAACCATTGTTGGCAAACGGTCTCGAGAGATAGTGAGAACAGAGAGGGGAAAACTTTCTTATCGATACCCTTCATACTCATTATTGTTTCAAATGCTCTTAAATGAAAGTAAGGGTTGTCAGTTGCTCTGAATTTTGGGATGTCGTTGGCGTTGAACTTCTGCGGAAGAAGATCTTTGTCCACCGAGACCCCTTGTGATGTAAGCTCTTGAAACTTGTAGTCGCTAGACAACTTGTTTAAACTCTCCTGCATGAGGTCCATCTGTTGTTGCTTCACGGGATCATCGATCTTGAGTGCGAGAAACTTCAGTGTCTCAGTTACGGTAGCCAGTTGGTTCTTAAGATCATTGACTTCTTCTTGTGTTGCCATTATAGTCTTAGCTTTCCTCTTACGAGCTATGGGTTTGTCGAAAAGTTGGACTTGTACGAAGAGGTTATCTTTGATTAACTGTCCTTCCTTTCTTGACTACGCGCTGTAAATTAAACCATTTTACGTTTCAATTACTCGACTCGAATCAACTTGACTTTACGGTTTATTTTAAGGAGGGAAAAAAAAGAAAAAGAAAAGGGTGCATATATTCTTTGGAAAAATAATGTACATATTTTTAGGGAACTAAGTATAGTTTATTTTATTGGAGGATTAATATCCGACTTACCCCCTTAAAAAAATGACGGAAAAAAAAAAACACGCACACAAGACTCTCTTAAACATGGTCAAAGTATGTGTATTGGTGTGTGCGTTGAGTGTAAGTGACATGCTTGGACTCTTGTGTAAGACCATGGGACTTAGTGCCTAAACTCGATCATTGACTCAAATAAATACTATTGACAGCAAAAATTAACCGAATTAATTTAGAAAATTGATTAATTAGACCCTAGGTGATGACTCGACTAATAATCCGAACTGTCAGCCAAGCAACAGAACTGGCGTCACACTGTGGAGCTTGGCTCCAGACGACAGAGCTATCGTCAGGCGCTACACTCCATAATGTGGAGCTACAGCTCAGACCTTGGCGCCAATATTTGAGCTTCGGTCTGGGACTATTTTCGGTGTTATTAGTCAATTAGGGTATGCCTAAAGTCGTACTAGGTCAATTCAGATTAAAATATTAGACTTTATTGACTCGAATTAATTAATTAATTAATTAAATAGGCGAAGTTCTTTAAGTCATTAATTTATTTAGTCTCAACACAAGTCAACAAACGGCTAAGAGAAACATAGAATATATATGCACAACAAATAATGCACAATTAGTCAAGTAGGCACAATATGATGCAATGCGTTTGCAACCTAACCATGGCTCTAGTTCTCTAAAGTTCGGGATATGGGTTAGTCAAAAGAAGGTCCATGGTTAATTTTCCGAATGCATCGCGCGGAAGCCTAACCGTGAAGGGTTGGCGAGAGTAGATGGGACACCGTGAGTTTAGAAAAAACTCGCTTCCATGGTTTGGTGAATTCAACATCTCGGATGTACCCTTTGTTGCACGGAGCGTTCAATCGGGTAGATGGAGCATGAATTCCCATAGGGTTATGTCCATATGTAGAACACATATGGGTTTTAGGAAAGTGAGGAAAAATTCAATCAGGAAGTAGGATCGAGCAAACAATACGAAAAACTGGTCGAAATTAGAACACATATTTTTGGCTCGATATTGGGGGAAATTGGCGCAAGCAAACAGAGACTGGTGCCAGATTTTAACTGTAGCGCTTGGCGCCAATACTGGCGTCTGGCGCTACAACTAAAATACAGGCGCCAAGCTCTGGCCCCTGACGCTACTTCCCACATTTTCAAGTTTCGCAGGAGTTATTTCAGTCCTAGTTGTGAAAGACATTCCTCAAATTTCCTACGTGTAAAATCCTATGTTTTTAACTCATTACGGATGTTCTTTCCAAAGAGATCTTTTTTATGCATATGACAATAATGTTAATCAAATTACGCACATGAAATACTTAGAACTTTTCGAGTCTCATCCACTCATTCTAAATCATTGCCGAAACAAATTCAGGAATTAAAATAGAAATCCTCCCCAGCGGAGTCGCCAAAAACTGTAGGGAATAATTTCAAGATTTAATCCCACTAACTTGAACCCCACTGTGGTCATACACTAAAGTACGGTGGCGTCCAAAAGGGAAGAAGATAGAGCAAAAGAGTCGCCAACAAGTTTTAGGAACTTGTAAGTCGTTCATAGGATGAAGGTTACACCCCTTAACGATCCAAGAGATCGTCAACTCCATAAGGTCTAGAACCAAATAAGGGTTCGGGGATGAAGGTACAAATCCAACCTAAAAGAGATTGAACCTGCCCTAATAATAGGCCTCTACTTTATTCTGATCGTATTCATGTGCGTTTTTTAATTAACATGCAATCAATAGGTTAACCCTAAACCTGTTTAATCTATGTTGGTTGAATTTAATGCACAAATAAACTATTATTGGCGATCACTTGAAATTATAATCATAATTAACCCTAACAAGATTATTAATTATCTTATTAAGCATGATTTCAAGTAAAAATTCCCTTTAAACATGCAATAAAGGTGTGATCAAACAATAAAAATAAATATCAAGAACAATAATAATAATAATAAGGATATTTTGGATTTTAACACCTTACAAAAGGCTGAAAATGTTTTTTAACACCCCCCAAAAAAAAACTTTTATTTTAACACCTCCCAAAAATATAAAAGTTGGAAGTTAACACCAGTTAACGATTTCCGTCACGGAAATTTAACGTGGGTCCCACAAATTGGCTTGAACTTCAATTTTCACCCAGCAAAACACGAAACTTCTTTCTTCATTGAATTCGCAGCAACCTTCTGCATTGAATTCTTTCTGAACCTTCATTGATTTCGCTTTTGAACCAAAGGAGATCTTGGCTGAGAAGTGGAGTGTAGGGTGGTGTCAACGTTGGAGAAGATAAGCTCAGGAGGGTTTCTTCATCATCTTCTTCAACTACAAAAGTGCGAAAGCCGCTTGAAATTCACAGAAAATAAGGTAAAATTGCTCTCCTTTGATAGCAATTTCGTCAATTACTGGTGCTTCATTGCTGTAAACCTTGCAATAATTGGGTAATTAGGGTAAATTTTGGGACCACAGTAGGAAAGCCTTGATAAATCAATTTCTGTAACTGACTATGCGACTTAGGTTAATTGGATTTCGTAATTGAAAGTAGAGATTAATTAAGGTGGTTTATTGTTAATTAAACTAGCAAGTGTGGTTTGTTGATTAATTTATGTTACTGAGCACCTACATTGGCTTGTATATGTTTATTTTCAATTTTTTTATGTGTTTGTTTGTGTGGCTGTGATGGATTTGTTTATTCGTATTGTGCATGTATAGTTACATGGCTTTTAATATGTTTTATATGTTTTTCACTGGTGGGTAGATAATGGGTGACAAGGATAGTTTGGTTGACATCTGCCTTAGAGTGGGAGGTGCTTTTGTCCCTAAAAGAGTAACCAAAAACAGGCAGCTGCTGTGTTGGTGTGGTGGTTGGTGTTACTGGAAGAGGAAGGTTCAAGTATCTAAGTTGGATGTGCATTTGATTAGAACAGCTGCAATTCATGGTTTTGTTAATGGTGATATGGATGTGCCTATGCATTACAGCTGTTGGTATAGGCAGAAGGGGAAAACCTTTAACACTGGGAAAAGGGAACTAGTTAACAGTGAAGAGGTTAAGGGCCTTTTGGAGACAGTAAATGAAGAGGGGTATGTTGAGGTTTTTGTAACAACAGAAGCTCCTAGTCAGCCCATACAAGAGGCCCAACCCAATCCTGCAAAGACAAAAAAAAAGGATAAGAAGGTAGAAAGTTCAAATACATCGACTATTAGGAGGAGCCCTAGGTTTAAGAAGACAGAAACTGAACAAAGGGAGGAGAGTCCACCTAGGAAAGCCTCAGCTAATGCTAAAGTGTTGAGGTTTGATGAAGAAAAGGATGATGGATGTGAAGGATCTGGTTATTCAAGTTCAGATTTGAGTGATGAGGGACAAGATTGGGAACCTGGTGAAGAAGAATTTGATGAAGGGGATGAGGAATGGTATATTGAAGGGTCAAAGGAGATCTTGGCCAAAGTGAACAAGAGCCTTAGGAAAGGTTTGGAGAGTGCAGTAGATGACAGGGTTGGCAAAGATAAGAGAGTAGAGTTGAGAAATGATTTGGATGTTGGAAAACCGAAGGTGAATCCAGAAAGTGATGCTGATTCAGATGATTCAAGGAGTTTGTGTGGATCTGATGAGGAACAGGACTATGCTCCTTGGTTTAATGCTGATGTGGACTTTGACAACCCAATCAAGTTGAAGTTAAATCAGAAATTCAGTAATGCTTCAGTCTTGAGGAGGGCCTTAAGACTTCATGCCATTCAAAACAGGTATGAGTTCTACTACTTGCATAATGACAGTAAAAGGATTACAGTTCAGTGTAGATATAGATGTGGCTGTGAGTTCAATAGCTACACTTGTAGAATGCCTGCTTGTACATGTGTGGGGGGGGGTAAAGTGTCAGTTCAAGGTGTTTGCATCAAAACTTGTTAAGCAGCAAACTTGGCAAATCAAAACCTTGAATTTAGACCATTCCTGCTTCAGAGTAAAGAAGAACAAGATGCTTACTGCTGAATACATAGCAGAGAGGTATTTAGAAGAGTTTAGGAGTAACCCTGGTTGGAGAATTAAGGAGATTAGGGCTAACTTCAAGCTCAACTTCACTGGATCAACCTTTAAGGAGCTGTTTTGGAGAGCAGCTAGGGCCACCACCATTGTAAGTTTATTGATTGTTGAAGCTAGCCTATGCTTTTATATGACTGTTGGTGTGTTTTTATATTGGTTAGCTTGTATATGCTTGGTGTGATTTCTGGTATGCTTTTATATGTCAGTTTGAGCATGAAATTGCCATGGAGTCTATCAAATTCCTCGATGAAGAGGCATATGAGTATTTAATCAACATTCCTCCCCACCATTGGTCTAGACATGCATTCACACCAAACTGCAAGTCCAACATGTTGTTGAACAACATGTGTGAGACTTTCAATGCAGTCATTAGGCCTGCCAGAGATAAACCTATCCTCACCCAAATGGAATGGATGAGGAGGTATATTATGAACAGGAATAATGAAAAGTGGGAGGATTCAAAAACAATTACACACAACTTAGTGCCATATGTGAGGCATGTTCTGGGGAGGATAGACTTTGTGGCTAGGTCCTGTGTGGTGCAGCCATCCAGAGGGAATACATTTGAGGTGCAGCTGAAGGATGACCAGGTGTTGGTTGATTTGGACAAGGAGACCTGCACATGTTACCATTGGGAACTCACTGGCATTCCATGTGTTCATGCTTATGCCTGCATATTGGATATGAGGGGTGACATAGAGGCTGTTGTTGACCCATACTATACCATGGACACATACAGGTCTGCTTATGAACCAGCTGTCCAACCAATGCCTGGCCCAAAGCACTGGGAGAGAGTCAGAATGAGGGAACCACTACCCCCTTCTGTTAAGGTGCAACCTGGGAGACCAAAGAGCAAAAAAAGGAAGCTTGAGCCAGGAGAATGTTCTTCTTCAGGTGGTCAGGCAAGTACCAAGAGGAAGAAGCAATGCAGCAACTGTGGGGGATATAGGCATTATGCCAAGACTTGCAAAGTACCTGCTGCACCAGCTACAGAGCTGATAAAGTCAGCAGGCAGACCCCCACTGAACACTCCTTGGATGGTGGAGGAGAGGAAGAAGAAAGAGATTAGGGCTGCTAAAAAGGTAACACAAGCATTACACCAACTCCCCCTTTGTTTTATATATGTATGTGTCTTTTCCATTGACTTTTTATTTTTATATGCATGTCATAGAGTGCAATTGGGGCTGGACCAAACAGCATAGGAAACAAAAAGTTTCCTCAAGAGCAAGAAGGTTGTCTGCCATTCAGCAAGCGCCCACAGCCACAGTCTTCCTCAGCTAAGCATTCCTCAGCTCAGCCATCCTCTAGTCAGCCATCCTCAGCTCAGCCTTCCTCAAGTCAGCCTGCCTCAAGCCAACCAAAAAGAAAGACAAGGTCTTCCTCAAGTCAGCCTACAACAGCCACAGGTGTTGTAACAAGGGCCAGGCTGCAATCCCTCAACAACCTTACTCAGTGATGTACTCATGCTGGATATCAAACATTATGTCTGTTGAACAATTTCAAACTTTTATTATGTACTCATGACTGGTTATGTAACTTGCTAGTTTTTTAGTGGCTTCCCTTAACAAATTTGAACAATTAGATATTGAATTGTAATGGTTGCATGGCTTTGATTGCCATTGAAACATGTTGAAGTAAGGTTCTTTTGTCAACCTGTACTTGAACTATCTTAGTGTTTCACATATTTCCCATGTTTTAATGTTTCACATGTTTAAATAGGTTGATTAAAAGACAAGGCATAAATAGGAACTTAGACAAGGCATAAATAGGTTGATTAAAAGACATATTTATAACACTTCAAGTCATTACAAGAAATTATAACTACTTAATACAGCTTACTATTACACACCCCTAGCCATTAGGAAAATTACACCCATTGACAAACCTATACAAATGGCCATGCCCACCCAACCAAAACAGCTGATTGAAGACACCTTCCCTTCATTGCACTCCCTGTTCATTCTCTTCCTGTCAGCGTTCAAGGCCTTGCATCTCATCTTCAAATTATCAACTTCATTAAGTAGGCACCTCCTTTGGCCACTGATTTCATCAACTTCCCTTTTCAATTCATTAACTTCACCCTTTAGCAGCTTCTTATCCAACAACAGGTTGTTGATAACCCCTGTTTGCCAATCTGTTCCATCAGGTTCATCAACCCATTCGAAAGCTTTGCAACCCCTTGTTTCTGTTATTGGGTCATAAAACTTACATGATATGAACTTCCTGCCTGGATTCTCCCTTGTCCAGCTAGTGAGCTTGGCCATTGGCACACCACACTTACATTTTCTGGCCTCAGGAGGGGAAGAGCTAACAAACGACATAATCTGCATCAATTTTAGATCGACAGTCACATTTACAGATTTGTACACTGACGAATTAACATTGACAGCAACAAAATTTATTTTTAATTTCATAATACGAAAAGCCCCAAATTCAATTTCTGACGAACCCTAATTTCGCAATTGGGCATTTAGATGCGTACATAACATAATCCAACCATTAATCTGAGTACGAAACAATTGCAAATAATAATTGAAGAGAATTTAAACCATAATTACCAAACAACCGAACAATTGACCGCACTCACCTGTTTCAGCAGCTTCAATCTGTTCCTCTTCTCAAAAATCGTGGAAGAATCGTGAAAGAATTGTTTCAAGTATCGTGCAACAATGCAATGCGCTGCTGCTATTCAATAAGAACAACGATTTCGTTCATTGGGGGAGAATCGTGCAAGAATGGTTCTTATATATCGTGCAAGAATCGTGGAAGAATGGTTCTTATATACAGATCTTTTAAAAATATATCCGTTGGGGTGGGCCCCACTAACAGTTCTGTTAACGGAAGATGGATTTTGGTGTTAACTTCCAACTTTTATATTTTTGGGAGGTGTTAAAATAAAAGTTTTTTTTTGGGGGGTGTTAAAAAACATTTTCAGCCTTTTGTAAGGTGTTAAAATCCAAAATATCCTAATAATAATAATCATAAATAAAATAATCATCATCAAAATAATAATAATAATAATAATAATAATAATAATAATAATAATAATAATATTCATATCATCATAAATTATAACAATTATAATTATAATCATGTTCATGTTAATATTAAAGCATAATAATAATAGCAAGATCCTAGGCATGATACTAACAAGATTAATAACAAACCCTAGCATGTCACTAAGCATTAAAAATCAAATCTTTAACCATAACATGATACCAACAATCATAAATATTAGGAAGAACATAAAAGTCATCGTAACAATCATATTTAATATTAAAATTACCCTAGACATGATACTAGGAATATCATAATAACAATGTAAACATGATTTCTACATCATAATATCAATCAAAACCAATAAAGTACTTACTTTGATGTCTCGTACCTCTTTCTAATAACAAAATACACATGTTAGTAACTTCAAGGAAAATAATAATCAAAACAATTAAATCAAATAATTGAAATAAATATTTGGGACCAAACCCTAAGAAATTAAACCTTTCACGTTTAGGGTGAAGGCAACTTCGAATATGGCTAGGTGTTTCTAGATCTTGTGAATGCAGAATTTTGTATATGAAAACAAAAATAGTTGAGAAAAAGAAAGAAAGAATTGAATGATTAAGAGAATTAGAGAATGCTAATTAAAACTGATTGTAGATGATTATCGGTAAGAATTGGTGAATTGGTGAATGAAAACAGAGTTTTTAATACGTTATTTATAGAGAAAATCAGCCAAAAAGATAAAATAAACAAAACAGAGTCCGACGCAAAAAAAACAGAGTTGGCGCAAACCCTGGCTAACTGGCGCTAGGCACCAACACTAGCGTTAGGCGCCAATGGCTTGCGCCAGGCCTGGTTCTAGGCACCAAAGCCTGGGGTCAGGCGCCAAGCCTGGTTTCAACGCGTTTTCGAAAATCAGATAAGTTTTCCGTACTGGAGGATAAAATCATATAATTTCCTCGAAAATGCTATTTGATTTTAATTAAAACTCTGAAAAGTCAAAAAGTCAATTTATCAATGCTAATTGAATTAGGAATGAAAAGAACATTCTAGAAGATTCTAGAAGACTAAAACCATTCCTATTTGCATTAGGAATGATAAATCACATTAGGCCCTCCCCTAGATCATTGGGCCGCATATAATGCTCAAACCGGGCCCAGTTTAGTAAATTGGCCATAACTTCCTCAATATTCATCGAAATTGGGCTTATAATATATCGTTGGAAAGCTTTTGTCAAGCCCCATCCAACTACACTATTATTGGACCCATATCATGGACCAACAAAACTGGATTGACTGTTTTCTTAAAATAAGTTTTCAAAAACAAAGAGAAGAGAAAAGAAATTAAAACTTTCCGCAACACTAGACTTTCCACACTTTCACTTCATTCAATTATGATTCGACGTGAAAGGTACTCATCACTGGGTTTGGTTTTGGGGAGACACAAATGGGTGTCTACAACAGCAGATTGTCCTAAGGCAACAATTGGTTTGCCACTGCCTTTAGGCCCTTTGCCTTTGGGCTCTTCATATTATTGCAATTACTGTGGTGCCAAAAAATTTGCAACAGAAACTGTGAAGTTTTTTTGTCGATACAGAGAGATAGAGATTGTTGTGAATGAGTATCCTCCTGAACTTGTACGGTTATTTACATCTGAGGAAGAAGATGTAGTACATTTCAGAACATATGCTCGTTTGTATAATAACTTGTTTGCATTTAGTTCGATTGGAGGAAATTTTGATGCTAGCACGTATAAAGGAATATACGTGTTTAAGTTACATGGGCAACTTTATCATTTCCTACCCGATTTGTTGCCTGGAGATGATACTCCAAAATATTTGCAGTTATACTTTTATGATGGCCAGCAAGAGGCATCAAAGCGTTTAGGTTGTTTTCCAAAGTTGCGGGAAGATATCATTAATATTCTTATGCGTGTGTCGGAGCTGAACCCTTATGTTGTTTTTTCGATCTTTAAAAGGAATTGAGGTTTCTGAAGATACACGGATTCTTCTCAACCAGCATACTATACCTGATCAACGTGTGTACAATGTTCCCACAAGCGATGAAGTAGCTGTGATATGGCTTGAGACTGCATCGTCAAGTGAGAGCTACAGTCCTCACATCCTTGTTTATGGTAAATCTGCTAGGTCTCATCGGATTTATCACCACTTCGGGTGTTATGATCCATTGGAGTACCCGCTACTTTTCCCATTTGGAGAGTGTGGGTGGAATCATGGTCTTAAAAAAAAGTCTTGTACGGGGAATGGACAAGTTGTCAGTCAATCAGATCCAATTATGAGTTGTGCTGTGCAGAGTGCTGATGATTTACTTCAAGAAGAAGCTTCAAGTATGTATTCTTTGTCCAAATCTATTAATTTTTTGTATTTGCTTTTTTAGGTACTCTTTTGTGCTTTCTGATGATATCTATAAATGGTAATAGAATAAAATAATTTTGGTTTTTTTGGCCTGTTTGTGACAGCACTTTGTTTATGTTTGTTCGTGGTTTAGGTAACATATTTGTGGCTATCTGTTTAGGTTTATTTGTTATGCTGTGATGGGTGTTGATTATATGGATGATTTTATAACTACAAGATTATCTAAGAGGTGGACCAGAGCTGATAATCTTATTTAGCCAAGAGAGTATTATGCTTACAAGTTACATATACGCCTTAATAATATGTTGTTACGTGGTGGGAGGTGTTTCCAGCAATACATAGTTGATATGTAAGTAAAGGTTGAGAATACACAGCTTGATTTTTTCCGCAATAATCAAGACAGTATTAGAGCTGATTTATATCAAGGTATTCTGGATTCTGTAAACAATGGAGAAACTCTTGCATCTAATGTTGGTAAAAAGGTTATTTTGCCTCCAACATTTATTGGTGGGCCTCGGGATATGAAAAACGGTATTTAAATGCGATGGCGTTGGTGCAGCGATATGGGAAACCCGATCTGTTTATAACCATTACTTGCAACACAAACTGGCCAGAAATAAAAAGCGAGTTGGCTCCTGGAGAGGTTGCTCAGGATCGTCCTGATTTAGTAGCTCGGATCTTTCACGCTAAGTTATTGGCTCTTAAGAAAGAAACAATGGATAATATGATTTTTGGTGAGGTCGCTGCACTGATTTATGTAATAGAGTTCCAGAAAAGAGGGCTGACGCATGCACATTTCCTTATTATCCTTAAGGGTCAATCAAAACTTAATGTCCAGCAGACTATGACAAATTTGTCTGTGTAGAAATTCCTTTAGTAGACAATTCATTGTTGCGAAAGATAATGCTTCGGCATATGATGCATGACCCTTGTGGTCAGTTAAGCCCAAAGTGTTCATGTATGCGTACAAATGGTAACAGAGCATTGTGTAAGTATGGCTATCCAAAACACTATTCATAGGAAACCACAACTAATGATGAAGGGTATCCTACTTATAGGAGAAGAAACACTGGTGAGCAGTTAAAAGTAAGAGGTGCTATGCTTGACAACAGGTGGGTCATTCCGTACAACCCTTACCTCTCTGTTCTATTTGATTGCCATGTTAATGTAGAAGTTTTCTCTACGATTAAAGCGGTTAAATATTTGTACAAGTATGTTTATAAAGGGCATGACAAAATTTCGTATAATGTTATGCCTGCTAATGGCGATGCTGTTGATGAGATTCAACAATATCAATCTGGGAGATGGGTTTCTCCTTGTGAGGCTGTATGGAGGCTGTTTGCATTTGATTTGTTTGAGATGCATCCTCTTGTGATCCTTCTTCAAGTGCATCTGCCTAACCAGCAAACACTACATTTGCATTCTCATGAGCGATTAAATGCTGTTGTGGGAAATTAAAAGCGCCATCGAACTCAGCTAACTGAATTTTTTTCCATGAATGCTGCTGTGCCAGGAGGAAATGGCTATTTGTATAGTGAATTTTGTGAGCACTACACTTGGGATGCATTAGCCAAGAGATAGAATCAGCGTGTTAGAGATAGGTTCCAAGTTGGACTCTTGGCATTTGTGTTTCTTGTTGAAGGAGAGCGATTTTACTTAAGGTTATTACTTCTGAATGTCAGAAGTCCTACTTCATTTGAAGCACTCAGGACTGCCAATGGTGTCTTATGCAAGAGCTTCCAGGAAGCAGCTGTTAAACTTGGTTTATTAGAGCAAAATGATTTGCCAACTCTATGTATGACAAAGGCGTGTGAGGTGCAAATATCAGATGCATTACGGCGCCTTTTTGCAACGCTCCTTGTTTTTGCTCAGCCAAGTGATGCTTGTACATTGTGGTCTTCATTTTACTCTGACTTGTCTGAGGATTTCAGGCACCAGTTCCCAAATGACTTAGTTAAGGTTCAGAGGTTAACTAGGAGATCGGTTGAGCAACATTTAGAGGTGCTTGGTAAATCTCTTTCTGAATATGGATTAGGCAACATGAGTGAGGAACTTGATTTTGAATTTAGGAAAACTAAGGATATTGTTGATGCTTTAGATGCTCCTATTCCTGAAGAATGTTTACATTGTCATGGACAATTAAATTCAGCACAAAGAGCTACATTTGATGATATTATGCAACACGTTCATGAAAACAAGCCAGGAGCTTTTTTCATAGATGGGCCTGGAGGTACTGGTAAACCTTTTTGTACAATGCTTTGTATGCTGAAATCCGGCTAATGAAAAAGATTGTCTTGCCTACAGCTACGTCTGGGATAGCAGCAGCCACCATTCCTTCTAGTCGCACGGCGCACTCTAGGTTCAAAATTCCTATAGCTTTTGAAGCATCATTGGCATGTTCAGTGCCAAAACAAGGTAGTTTGGCTGTGTTACTTAGAGAAACAACTTTGATTATTTGGGATGAAGCTTCAATGGAAAAGAAAGAAAACATTGAATCCTTAGACTTGCTACTACAAGATTTGTGTGAGACTAAGTCCTTGTTCGGTGGCAAGATTGTGGTGTTTGGTGGTGATTTCAGGCAGGTTTTGTCAATAGTACCATGGAAGACACAAAGAGAGGCGGTTGAAACAAGCATTGTTAGTTCATATCTATGGCCTAAGTTTAAAAAGTTTGAGTTAACTGATAATATCAGAGCTAAAGAGGATCCTGGTTATTGCTCCTTTTTGTTGTCTTTGGGAAACGGTGAATTGCAGCAGTCAGAAACAAGTTATGTGCAGTTGCTTTCCAAAATTTTATGCCCAATTCCCGCTGATGGGGATCCGGTTAAAGAGTTAAAAAGTAGCACGTTCCCAGAAATTGGTACGGATGAATTTACTACAGAGATATTTAGTGAGCGTGTATTCTTACTCCCACGAACGATGATGTTAATTCCATTAATACAATTTTGATTGACTCTTTTCCTGGTAAACCTATTGTTTACAAGAGTTTTGACACCATTTTGGATGACATGTGCACTATGTACCCTACAGAGTTTTTAAATAAGCTGTGCCCTGGTGGAATGAGTCCTCATGAGCTTGTTCTCAAGAAAAATTGTCCAGTGATTTTGCTGAGGAATATCTTGCCATCTTCTGGTCTGTGCAATGGTACAAGGCTCATCTGCAAAAACTTCTATCCAAATGTCATTGAGTGTGAAATAGTTGTTGGCCATTATAAAGGGAAGACTCATTTTATACATAGGATTAATTTGAGGTCGTCGAATGCACCAGGATATCCTTTTTAATTCGAACGGAAACAATTCCCTTTAAAGCTTAGTTTCGCTATGACAATTAATAAATCGCAAGGTCAGAAACTTAGTCAAGTAAGTGTACATCTTTAGAGACCGTGTTTTTCTCATGGACAACTTTATGTGGCCTTGTCTCGTGCAAAGATGGCAAGCAAAGTATCAGTTTACACAGTGATTCCTCCTGCACCATATTCAATTAGCCATACAAAAAATGTTGTTTCATATGATGTTTTGCATTTGGCTGGCATAATAATTGGTCGGTAAATTCAAGTGGCGTGTTCAATTTTTGGCTAATTAAGGTTGATCTTTGTTTAGAAACTACATTGGTGTTTAGTTTTGGCGTTTTTGATTTCTCACTGAATATAGGTTTGATTTTTAATGAGACTTGCTTGTTGTCAATGATTCAGAAAAAAAGTTTGTTTAATGCTAACAACTTGGCCATCTGTAGCAGTTTGTTATATCATAAACTAAAAGTATTTAAAGGTCTTGTTATGGAACTAATGTTTTATTTGTAAATAATAGGCTTTGTCGTGAATAACCTACAGGTAACAATAAGTAATTGTTAATAATTTTGTTTCCTGGGTTTTATTTTTAAAGGGAAGGCTAATGCTATGAATTTATACTTTACAGTTATTAAATCATATAAGTAGTCATACTACGGTGATTGGGTGGTTAGTGTAAGAACTCTCCGAACTGTACTTTGTATATATTTTTTTTATTTACTTATTGATAATTTCCTTTCCTTATATTGTATGTTCGTTTTAATACCGTTATTCCTTGTATAACAGTACTATTTACTAATTTTTTTCTCTTTCGTTTGCTTTTGCTATTTCTTGGAGGAATAATCTTATTCTTTATGGTTGTGTTTTGCGATATATAGTTAGGTGTGCTTCAATTATGAGATCTCTATACAAAAATCCTTCTTATTATCTCCATTGCAGGTTATGCGCAACGATTAGACATTTCCCTTCTATACCTTACTTCAAATTGTTGCACATAACCTATAAGGGAAGTAGTGTATTAAATTATAATATATTATGTGTATTGTTTTAAATTAGCTAAGGATGGTATCTTAGATGGAAAAATGTAATATTAGTTTTGTAGATGAAATTTCATTTATATGTCTCTAGCTGTAGATATAATTGGTAAAATACAAGAGAGATGAAAAATCATAAGGGTGACAAGTCTTAGTTATTATTGTTTTTTTTCTTGGAAAGTAACATAGCATAGATAGTACATAGTACATCTAGATGAGCCATTCCTGTTAACTTGCAACACTTTGCATAAAGGATACTTGTTTGCAGCACCATAAAGGTACACTTTGGGTTGCTTGTAACTCAGAGTCTAATTTGCTGTGTCACTTTCCTTCTTCCTGTCATTCAAAAGGAAAAAATCATTAACACTGTAGGTATCATCTACTACTCTACTAATTGATAAATAAATTCTTATTGCATAAATACTCAAGCTCTCGACAGTAGATCAATAGTTCCTTGCAAAAGGTGATTGCTTGGATAACAAGTACGAAACATTTGAATTTTGTAGGTTTTTCATTTCATAGTGTCTTTCCATTTGTGGGATATGATTGATTAGCTGAATTAATTCTGTTAGAGATATTTGAATTTAGTATTTTTGTTTGCCCTTTGTCTGTCAACATTGGAATATTGCTAGATTGTTGATATAATAGAAGCATTTGGTATATTTGAATTCATAGCTAAAGTGTTTTTTTGTTTGGAGGTTCTGTTTTGTACGTATAGTTTATGAATAGTATTGTTCCTTGAAGTTTTCTTTGTTTATGCATAAATTCATTCATTAAAATTAAGAGGGCAAGTGATTTAAAAAGAAATCTATAATTTATGTATTGCTTAAGTCATTGTTAAAATGAACATGTTAGATTAGCAGCTGCAGTTTATGAATATGTTAAATGTTGACCACTTAGTGCACTATTTTGCGAATTTCAAAAGCTTGTTTTTGCTAACATTTGCTATATTGTGATATCAATATTGAAAGAGTTTATGGAGATGGAGCCTGCAAGTGTGTGCTTGGAAGAATTAACTCCAGAGAGTAGATTTTACAAGATCAATGTGATAGTTTCTCGGAAAGAAAGGCTTCAAGTAGACAGGGAAAAAAGAATTGTATACCAAAATTTCATTCTTGAGGATGCTAAGGTGAGTATTACTTGTGTAACATATTTGACAAACTTTTCAGCGTTCTAACAAAACATAAAAGCATAATCTACTTATGTATATTTTTGTTTTAGGTCATTGCTCAACAAATAACACTAAATAATGATTTTAAGCTAATGCTCTATGTTTAACAAATAGTTTAGCTAGCTCATTTGGCTTTTAAAATTGAATTTCACAAGTATGTAATGTAATTATATTGCTGATTTGTGTAGAATTTGTGTGCTTTTGGAGAGATAGTTCCTGCACTTTTGTTATATTGGTGTAGCTTAGATTAATATAGATGCATTTATAGATGACAGTTATGTATAAGGAGTCTTGGTAAAAATTTAGTGGAGTTTTTATTGGACAATAGATGTTGTATCTGATACAATATGATAATTGAAAAGTGAGGGGGAGCTAAATAATCAATCATATGTGTGATTGTGTTTGTAATATGATTTGATTAATTTGATTTGGTGAATTCAACATGCTATGTAGCTACTGGCCCATTTGAATTTCACATGTTGTTTTATATAAATTATTGGTCATTGTTGTTTAATTGAACAACAAAATTCAATGCACCTTGTTTGGGGGAGATCAAGTAGAGGCTTTTGAAGGTGTTATAGAGCACAAGGGACAATATGAAATATCCAATGCTCCTATAAATGTGATAGAAGAGACATTTGAGATCGACTATGGTGAGTTGCCGCTGCAGCTGACTATTGATCAAGGAACTACCATGCGGCGGCTAGATGCAGCTAGTGGTGTGGTTCCACCCGATTACCAGCCACTTGGGGACATTCCACGTGACATTGATGCAGCTGGAAAATATGGTTATCTATTTTCCCTACATATCACATTGTATTTGGTTAATGATATTATTATTAAGTAATTAATTCAATTAATTGGTGTTTGTTTATAGATGTCGTTGCTGTGATTTTATTTGTTGAAGAACGACCTCGTGAAGTTATTTCTTCCAATGGAAAGATAAACTATGTTCGTGAGATAGTTAT